TAATCACCCATTCAGCAGCACACAAAGCAGATCACATACACTTTTAGCCTGCATTGTACGGTGTTATGAAATGAGAAGATTATTTGATATGATTCAGAGATAGCTCAGGTATAAGGTAAAAAAAAATAACACCTTTGATGTTTTACATTATACTTCAGTTATTCCTTGAGGGGCAAATTCTCGTCACCTTACCCAGGTGAATGTTGCGCTCGGTAATTTGGTCAAAAACATTCCATCAACCTTCTTTTTAATAGAAAATGTTGTGAGGGGGGGAGTTCAGCTTGATGGAGATTTCTGTCAAAAAGAAGGAAAAAGAGAAGGTAAATCCATGTTTTTCTTCTTTCAACAATCAGAGAAAAAAAATAATTGGGAACAAAAATCTGTTTGGGAGGGATTTTCTAACAGGACAATAAACCTAGTAGTTTTTTTTTTTTGCCAAAGCCTAAGGAGAAACAACAATTTCCCAACAATTGCAGTCTCCATCTGGCACAGTTATTTCTAGCTGAGGCATCAGCCATCCATGTACCATCAGCCAGGCCTGATTCTCATCTTACCTCTCTTGGGTCAAACTACAAAATGAGGCTTTGTCCCTCTTATTTTGTGTGCTATCAGAATGAGACAGGACCACCTTCCATGAACGAGCAGAGTAGAATTTAGGTACATCGCATTCAAAGCCAGGTGAGATCTGCAGGGCTTGTGGGGCCTTATCTCAAGAAGTCTGATGGAGATTTTCTATCGCTAGAAATACAGAGAGGGCAAAGGCAGGATATCCGTAGCTTCCTTGAACGCTACTACATCTTTTAAACTATTCCTAAAGATTTCAGGGAAAAATCACCCTCAACCAGTGTAAAAAAGCAATAAATCATTCTGTACAGGCACAACGTACTGTGGCCAACTTTCATGGACTTTGTGAGTGACAGGGCAAATCAAAAGCCTCCTCCTTCAGAGGAGATGCAAACCACAGTCCATGGCCAGTGGCAGTAACTGAAGCCCTATTTCCAAAAAAGTTGGCGAGCGATGAAACCGAGTGCGGATGGCTGTGTTCTGCCTCTTGAATCCCCTCCTACCACCCCGCAGTATACTCCATGTTGCTGGGGGTGGGGGGGTTTAAATTTACTGGCACAAGAGTTTCCTTTGTTGATGGGTGCTGGGTCTCCTCTAGGGGACTGGGCTGATCCAGCTGTACTGGCAAAGCCTTTGTACTGTGGAGTAGCTCAAGTGCAGACCTGCAGTGGGTGCCTGCCTGAACCTTTGCTGGCACGTCGATAAGGCCAGCGCTGAGCAAAGCTAAACGACCCCATGTTGGAGAAATGCCACACGTAGGAGCCAGCAAGCATCTGTGTTACTGATCCAATGCGTCTCTTGAAATGCCTTTGGACTGTACTTTTTTTCAAGCAAAGACTGCCTTTTTGAGTAGCTGCATGTGCTGGAAGAGCCACAGTTCCTAGCTGGGAGTGTTGGTGGGTACAGGCAGCACGGGGCAGAGGTACCAGGCAGTTGTGCTTGCAGTCATCAGCACGACCACGGTTTCACATAGAGTATCACTGCGCTGCATCAGTCTTGCCCAGTTGAGATGGCATCTTTCTAGATGCCTAGAAAGAGTGGAGAAACCAAGCAAAGATTAGACTTCCTGCGATGCTTAGCTTTAATGTCCAGCAGCTGGGGTCTGTGGGCTCCCAACTACTCCCCGTGAGATCACTGCTCCCTCAAAGTCAGAAAAAGTCATTTTACAGGATGATTCCTATGGCTACCAGAGCAGAGAGGACGGAGGCCTGAAGTTTGAGCCTCTGACTTCCCTGGGAGCAGGCTATGCCCTGGGCTACCGGGCTGTCACATGACCCAGGCTGGGAAGAGGCTCATTGTCATGGAGAACTGCCCATCCCAGGCACGGCCTTGGCATTTAGAGGGGAGTGGGGGCTCTCAGGGTGGGACCAGCACGCTAATTGCCTTTGTCTTCCCTCTCCTTCAAGGGGGGAATCACAGTAAATCCCCAAAGACCATGACAATAGCCCTGCTGCTTTTAAGTGCCTCTCATTAAACTCAATCCTCTTGCCCTCCCTCTCCCAAGATTTGCTAAGACTCTCTTTTAATGACAAAAGGAAACCTAAAAGGCTGCCATTAGCTCATTCCCTTGACTCCTCTCTGCAGACTAGGTGTCTATTTGCTGAAATCTACTCCCAAGTGTCCCTTGGGCTGGTTGCTTTATCATGAGCACACCAGCCTTTGGGGTGGTGTGTCCGCAGCAGAGGCCACAGGTCCCTGTTCCAGCTAAGGGCTCACTTTTCCTGGAAGGAGCAGGATTTGGTGTTGATGGCAGGAAAGGCACACGGGGGACAGACCTGCCGAAACCTCCCTAGAGCCCACCACCATCCCTCAGGAGCAGGGCTGGAGCACTGTGGTGGGTGAAGCCCTCCCTGGCTCCGTTCTGGCTGTGCCACCGCCCAACCCATGCTGCATGAGAAGGTCTGTTGAGCCATGGGGTATTTGCTGAGAATGTACTGCCGGAGGCAGAGTACACAGCAACACAAATTTGCCACTGATTCGGGATCCTCAGGAGCAAACGTTTATGGGTCCTGTCTGCAGAAACATACAGCTGATGGAAGTGGCAGAGGGTAAAACCTGAAACAAATCTGGGTGGAAGAATATGAGCTGGACATATGCAGGTGTCCCACATCGGCCCACTGCTTGCTAAGGTCTCACAACAAGCTGGTGGAGCAGAGAAGGGGTGCGATGGTCACTTTGACACGTGAGTAAGCAGTTCCTGGCTTACTTAAGGACTGGCTCTAAATCTTTTGAAGGTGCTGGGAATCCCTCCACCGCTTTTAGATCAAACTCAGCAGTCCAAAATCCAAATAAAGCTACTCCAGACCTGGTGCGATTGAACTCGAGCAGGACAAGACCGACCACCTTGTCTTTTTGCTAGTGGCAATCCACCCTTTCCCTCCCATTATCACTACCACTGCATCACCTGAGACGCAATTAAAAATCAAGACATGGAGGAATTACCCCTAAAGCCAGGCAGATGGTATCTGTGCTGGGAAGGGGTGAACCAGAGGGGGATGAGGAAGGAGTTGCCACCCGCCCACTGGTCTCAGCTATTGCACAAATGGCGGTTGGCCAGTGCTGGGGCAAGTACCTGGTCCCGATCCCAAGCACGTGGAAGACATCTGACTTTTCGTCATGGCTTCATTATATTTTGGATCAGGCCAGTGGTTTGTCTTGCATCACTACCCTGTATGTTATGCAGGTAGCCAGAGAAGAGGCGCTGCCAACAATTTTGTTTTCTGAATAGCCTGCAGGGATGGCCTTACATCACGGCAGATGCATATATGTTAAACAGCTGCAATTTCATGCTCAACTTCATTATTGATGCAACATTCCTCATGAAGATATTTATATTTACGCTCTACCCTCACACAGCACCTAACAAACAGCTTAAGCAAATGGCAAGAATTGGGAGTTGATTGTTTTGCATAACGGCTGCTCTAGGATGGATTCTCCTTTCCCAGCAGCATGGATCAGGGAAGGATTCTCAGGAGCGCCTGTTTGCAGCAGACGCTCCGCCTGGCCCGCCAGCTGATCCGTCCGACTTCTCAACTAGCCCGCCATTTTACGCAGCTGCAATCCGCTTAGAAAAACCGAATGGCAAAACGGCTCGAGCCAACAGTCAAGCTCAGACTTCGTACCTCCTGCTAGCCAGCACCACGCTGGAACCAGCCCCGCTTCTTTTACTTTTGCAAGCTTTTATTTTTTTTTTACTAAACCAGGCTGAAAAAGGACAGTTGTAATTCAGGCAGTTTGACAAAAACAAACAAACAAAAAAGCCCAGAGTGCCCGCTCTGCACAGTGAGACTATGAGAGGCTGCAAATCAGCTCAGATGCATCTCCTTTGGGCCCAGAGCAGTTTTTTTCTGTCCTCCTGCGCAGATGAAATTGTTCATAAATCTTTGCACCTTTCATCCCAAACCACGTGAAAGCAAAACCTGTCTCCCACAGAGTTTTAAAATACCTCAAACACACTGAGGAACAACCAGGCAAAAATCTAACAATTGTTAACATTTTATTCCCAACAGCTGCTCAGCTTGAAACGTTTCATTAATACACTAACGAACAAAACCAAAACCAACAAAAAATTCAAAACAAATAAAACAACAAAAAAAGAAGAGGAAACAAAGTAAAATAAATTTTAACAAAGTTTAAAACACATTATAAATAAGTACAGCTCCAGAGCATAATTTACAAATATAAAACCACATAGAAACATATGTACAGAAGCGTTACATTACGTACAAATATGTATAAAAATACCCCAGTGTTTATTCTCGTGCTAAAGCTGCATGGCTAGAGTTATCTTTGGTACTAAGCTCAGGGGAAAAGATTGTTTTACAAGACACAGCCCTGGCTGTACAATATGTCATACACAGGAAGACCAGAGCGAACCTCCGTGGGATTCAAGGAGGTTTTAGGTGGGTGTTTACCCAGAGCATCCCCCCCGTGCATTGCATATTGCCGGGTCAGGGCAGAAAGCAAGGGCTTACAGAGGCAATTGCTGGCAGAAGAGTTTTTTAATGCATTGAACAAGGCACTTCATACGAAATCTCTTCTTTTTTTTTTTCCTGTTCTCTAAGATTCACTGGATGTCTACACTTGGCTCTTGCTGATAATGCTTTATAGTTATAGTTTTTGAACTTCTTATTCTACATTCAGGATTAGAAACCTCTGAAAACATTAATTCAGTTTGCTTTCATTTGCAGAATTTAGATGGCAAGCCATCTAAACCACCTAACATTCTCCAGGATGGGGAAAAGACTTTGCATCTGCCTTCTGCTGGTGTTTAAGGGATGTTCTTATTTTGAAAGGTAAGAAGATCTGTCTTCCTGGAAGAACTCCTGGGAAGTGTCCACATTGAAATGCTGTTTGCAAAAGCGTACGGTCCTCCGTGCTGCCAGATACACCTGCAACCCCCATTCCCTTTGCAGCGCTCACCAGCCGACTGTATCCTACACCTCCGTTCCATCCCGGGTGTAGATGAGGCTGTTAACCGTGAAGTTGTAGTAGTGGTTGTACTGGGCTCCCTGGCTGCTGCTGCTGGGATGGAAGGAGCTGTAGTAAGCGGGGGAAGGTCCCGCAACCCGCTGAAGCTGGTCTGGTGAAGGCACCTCCTGAGAAGAGCTGCTGGAAGGGGTGAAAGTGCCACTGCTCAGCTGTCCGGCAGAGAAGTTCCTGTGATGCAGGTCACTGCCGAGACCCCCTGTCAGCCGGCTGCCTCCACTGCTCAGGGTGCTCATGCCACTGAAGAAGGTGCTGAGGCAGCTAGGGGTGGATGAAATGATACTGGAGGGAGAGGAGCTTTTTGGATGGTCCCTGGCAGAAGGCGACGGGTCCAGCTCTGGGGGTGGGCTGTTTCCACACGGTTTGCCTGCAGCTGGGATGGGTCGCTCTTCCTCGGCCTTCAAGCCCCCCAGAGAGGAGGCCACAGATGTGGTAGCCGGGGCATTGGGCTCAGAGCGCCGCTTGCGTTTGCGACGGAAGTTCCCATTGTCAAACATCTTCTCACAGTTGGGATCTAAGGTCCAGTAGTTTCCCTTCCCTGGTGGAAAAAAAGGAGAAACAAGACAGAAGATCAACTTCTGTGACAGTGAGCCCCACTGCAGACAGATAAGCAATATCCATGTCTTGTCTGATCAGCACAGAACCCATCTCTCTCCCATACCTTGTCTGTTGTCCAGTACAAGGGTTCAAAATCTGGCTCCAGGACATGATCACCTCCACCCCTCTGATGATAAAGTGAACCTTAAGGCCACATGGAGGAGGAGAATCTCTCCATCACAGGGCATAAACCTTCCTGGAGGATCTGTACCTTTACCTCAGACCTGGCCGAAGGGAATGCAGAGGGGAGCCCCCCTTGCTCTGGCTGCCTCAGAGCAAACAGGGGCACTTGAAGCCATCTCAGCAGTGGGTGACAAAGTGATGCCCGTGCTATGGCTCTTCTCAGAAGAGCTGATGGAAAGGCGGGCTGTCAAACCCAGGTACACTGAGGGGACAGCAGGCCAGCAACGCTGAGCTGCGGGGGCTGCAGACAAGCTGCCCCACGCACAAGACTTAAGTGTGAGGGGGCTGTGGTGGCATCAGCTGTCCGCACACACACCTCTTGCCCATGCCCAGGCCTGACAGGAGCAGTAACCCCACAACGTTCCCCCAGAGGCTCCAGGCCGGCATGTCCCCTCCCTGCCGGGCCGGACCAGCACTGTCCGGGCGCGTCTCCGTCCTCCGCCCACTCCCGGGCACCGGCTGTGCCCCGGGGCCGGGTCGTCGAGCGGCGGGTAG